TTTGTGCTCGGGGTGGGTTTTTTTTTCTTCAGACAAATTTCGACTTTTTAACTAGCCATTTTTGACGGAATTTTTTTTATATCTTTCAAAAGCTATTGTTGTTCTGAGCTTAAATTTGAAAAATTATTTCACCTGTAATAATTTTTTGTAAAGTTATGGGGGTTTAAAGATTGCCATTTTGGCCATTCTGACCAATTTGGGACAATCAACGCGCGATATACTTCGCGCTATTAACGCGTAAGCGGAGATTTAATCCGTCTTAGAAATCGTTCCAAATTCGTTTAAAAAAAGCTTATTTGCCATAATTGATTTGTTACAAGGAACGAAATCTATCCTTTTGTACTGTATGTGGCGTGTGGGGGGATGATTTTCATAAAAAAATTTCAAATTTTAGAGAAAAAAAATTTCATTTTATTTTGTTTCATTTATTTTTTCTATGTTATTACTGCTCCATAAACCTTCAAAACAACAGAAGCTTGAATGATTAAGACGGTTATTAACTAAAATCACCAAACCGATTGATAATAGTTACAACTTGGGACCACGAATCTATTAGAATGCATTCTTTGCAGTGAAATAAAATCGATTAAAAACCATACAAGACTGCTCGTATCAGGGCAAAGCCCTGAATGTTCCGACTGCCTTTTAAGGTTTTATGGAGCAGTAATAACATCAAAAAATTAAATGTAATAAAATAAAATGAAAAAATTTTTTTTCTGAAATTTGAAAATTTTTATGAAAATCATCCCCCCACACGCCATATAAAATACAAAAAGATAAATTTAGCTCCTTGTAACAAATCAATTATGGCAAATAAGCTTCTTTCAACCAATTTGGAACGATTTTAAGACGGATTAAATCTCCCCTTACGCGTTAATAGCGCGAAATATATCGCGCGTTAATTGTCCCAAATTGGCCACAATGGCAAAATTTAAACCCCCATAACTTTACGAAAAATGATCACAGGTGAAATATCTTTCAAATTTGTGGTCAAGGTAACAATAGCTTTCGAATGATATAAAAAACACCCGTCAAAAATGGCCAGTTAAAAAGTCGAAATTTGTCTGAAGAAAAAAAAACCCACACCGAGCACAAATATTCCGTTACTTTCGTATCGAAAGTCGGAACAATGAAATCTGCTCTTGAAGAGCGCATATTTAAACATATAAATGATTATTAGCAAAAAAAATTTTACCGAGTGTCCATAAAACGAAACAGTGTCCCTCTATTTATAGGGCTAAGTGACAAAAACATTATACAAACATCTTTATACGAAATTTTTTTTTGTTGTTGTTGGTATTTTTGTTCAGAGTTTCTAGCAGTATTTTACTTGTTGTTAATTTTTTTTATCTGTCTTTCCGAGTTGAGAAAAAACGGTAGTCATTCAAAACTGTGGAACTAGCATTTCACGCAACCAGAAAGTTGTCTGATAACTCTAGAAGTAACATTTTTCGAAGACAGTAAATGTTTGACTAACCTTTTTGTTGCATGAAATTGCGTGACTAGCATTTTCTTCTGATATGAAAGATAACAAGATTGCTCGTATCAAGGCGAAGCCGTGATTGTTCCGCCTGCCTTTTAAGGTTTATGGAGCAGTAATAACATAAATATCATTAACAAATTAAATGTAAAAATAATAAAAAAAAATTTTCCTAAAATTTGAAATTTTTTTTTCCATGAAAATCATCCCCCCACACGCCATATAAACTACAAAAGAATAGATTGCGCTCCTTGTAAAAAATCACTTATGGCAAATAAGCTTCTTTCAACCAATTTGGAACGATTTCTAAGACGGATTAAATCTCCGCTTACGCGTTAATAGCGCAAAATATATCGCGCGTTAATTGTCCCAAATTAGCTAAAATGGTCATCTTTAAACCCTCATAACTTTACAAAAAATAATCATAGGTGAAATATCGTTTCAAAATCAAGCTCAGGACAACAATACCTTTTGAATGATAAAAAAAAATTCCGTCAAAAATGGCTAGTTAAAAAGTCGAAATTTGTCTGAAGAAAAAAAAAACCCACCGCGAGCACAAATATTCCGTTACTTTCGCATCGAAAGTCGGAACAATAACTAGTTTTTGAGTTTCGCGTTCTGTTCTCGTTTCCAATTCGCAATGCAATAGCCAAAGATTTTCTGAAATGAGAAAACGAAGAGGTTGAGTGGCAAGAATCCAATAGATAAACTGCAATTGGATCTTTGTCATTTGAATTAACGTTCTAACTTCACTAATAGTTATATCAAAATTTCTAATGGTTCGTGAACGACTAAAAAGCTTCGGTTTCGAAAGTTGAGTGTTTGTAAACCGCGGCCTGTTTTTGCGAAATTGTAGAAAAAAATGTTTTGGAAAATGTATATTTGTGTTTATATCCCAATTGTGGATTCGTTAGAAAAATGCTACTCACACAGTTTTCATTGTATGACTAGCGTTTTCTTTGTGTGGAGATGAACAATTACTCGCTAACCAATTCACGCGATGCGAAGATTTCTGAAAATAAGTCTCAACTGTAAAGTATCAGAAAAAATTCATGCAGTTTATATTACGAAAATGGCTGTAAAATGGATTAATAACCCAAACCCATACCGTCCATTTATAGAAACTTTGCTTAATGTAGAACGTTGCAAAAACCTAAACTGAGATGCTGGTACAATTTGAAAAAAAAATTTATCATACTTTTCCTTAAAGACCGACATTACGATAAATTGTCGGTAAAAAAAAAAGATTCCCATAGCTCGACATTTATTTAGAAAAAAACATAGGGCAATATTTTTTGCATAAGAAGCAGTGGATTTGAGGTTGAAACCTTAGAACTTGTAAGGACTTGGAAAATTTTGGAACTGAATAAGCATCAAATATTAAAAACTTAGGTCAAATTTCCGCATCAATTTGAAAAATTCGACATTATTGTCGATCAATTTTATCAAAGTGTAAAACGATTTTCGAACTTGTGGAAAAAAATTGAGATTTATTCTAGTTCATCATTGATACTCTTTTGTTAATTGTACTTTTTAGCTCTACGAACTTCCGACGAGAAAACCTTGTGTACATATCTGATGCAGAGGTTCATATAAATTAACCAAACAAATTAAACATGAGAAATGAACAAACCATTTACTTGTAATCTACTGACTTAAGATCCTAAATATTTATTTAGTTATGTCTATATCTGACTAATCTTTTGTTAGGAATAATCAAGTAATATACAGGTTGTGACTTAAGATCCTAAATATTTATTGTTCGGACTTTCGATACGAAAGTAACGGAATATTTGTGCTCGGGGTGGGTTTTTTTTTCTTCAGACAAATTTCGACTTTTTAACTAGCCATTTTTGACGGATTTTTTTTATATCATTCAAAAGGTATTGTTGTCCTGAGCCTCAATTTCAAAAAATATTTCACCTGTGATCATTTTTCGTAAAGTTATGAGGGTTTAAAGATTGCCATTTTGGCCATTTTGACCAATTATGGACAATTAACGCGCGATATAATTCGCGCTATTACCGCGTAAGCGGAGATTTATTCCGTCTTATAAATCGTTCCAAATTAGTTGAACAAAGCTTATTTGCCATAATTGATTTGTTACAAGGAACGAAATCTCTCTTTTTGTACTTTAAATGGCGTGTGGGGGGATGATTTTATAAAAAAATTTCAAATTTTAGAAAAAAAATTTTTCATTTTTTTTTACTTAATTTAATTTTTTTATGTTTTTACTGCTGCTCCATAAACCTTAAAAGGCAGTCGGAACATTCAGGGCTTCGCCCTGATATGAGCAGTCATGTTTAGATATGTCTATATCTGACTAATATTTTGTTAGGAATAATTAAGTAATATACAGGTTGGTTAAGTAATTAGAGTAGACTTTGCGACATTGCATTGACTAATCTGTTTTAATTTTTGAGATCATATGGCTATTTGGCTCCATCGATATGACTTGATAAGCCTAATTCAGATGCCAGAAAACTAACTATTCAATGGCTCTTTTGTTATTGTTCCGACTTTCGAAACGAAAGTAAAAGAATATTTGTGCTCGAAAATTTTTTTTTCTCCAGACAAATTTCGACTTTTTAACTAGCCATTTTAGACAAAAATTTTTTATATCACTCAAAAGGTTTTGTTGACTTGAGCTTAAATGTGAAATGATATTTTACCTGTGATCATTTTTCCTGAAGTTATGTGTTTTTAAAGATTGCCATTTTGGCCAATTTTGGACAATCATCGCGCGATATGATTCGCGCTATTAATTCGTAAGCGGAGATTTAATCCGTCTTAGAAATTGTTCCAAATTTGTTAAAAGAAGCTTATTTGCCATAATTGATAAATATGTTATCCTAATTGATATCCTGTTGTACTTAATATGGCGTGTGGGGGGATGATTTTCCATTTTATTTTAATATATTTTTTATGTTATTACTGCTCCATAAGCCTTAAAAGGCAGTCGGAACATTCAGGGCTTCGCCCTGATACGAGCAGTCTTGTATTTTTTGTTTCGAAACCTAAAAGTAACAATTGAATGACGAGGAATGATATCGAACTCGATATGCTTTTTTGAGCGTACATTACATTGTAGTGTTCTTGCAATTGAGGAGCAAAATTTTGTTTTCGGCAGTCATTTAAACTTTAGCCTATTCCCATTAAGGAGCAAAAAGCTTCTTTTAATCTGTACAAATAATAATTCTGTAAACTTGAGTTCAGCTCCGAATGTTACTCATGCTAAAAGCTATGGTTTAGTAAAGAGAAGCACTAAGTCACCACGCAAATGCTTGATTTAGGAACATCTTCATCTGATTAATGACATGAAATGAAAATCAAGGACACACCGTATATTTGTTTTGGAAACAATGTTGTAGATCTGATATGTCTAAAGTGCAGGCTACTTGAAAGATTTTTTTATTACATTACTTAAGGTTTTAAAAGAGCACTTTACATCAAGTCACGCTATTCAATTGGATTTGTTGAAATATTAGCCAACTCTTACATTTTTTTTGTTAAGCGTTATCGCCTCTGTGTTTCAGTATTGGAGTTTTTAAACTGTTAACTCTCGCATTGCTATTGAACAGTTAAAGCAATATTTTTTGTCAGAACTTTTTCAAGTTTGAATGAAAAAAAGGTAAGTAGCTATTTCAAGTTGTGCTAAATACTACAAAAAAATGAGCATTAGAAAATACTAAAAGTCTTACGCTTCTTATAAAATTTTGGGAAACGGATTTTGAAGGTCATCATAAGATTAATCTTTTTGTGACAAATTACTATGTTTTCATCTGTCGGAGTGTTTCATATTTCAAAGTAACAACTGAAATCAAGACTTTCCAGAAAAAGCTATTTTCACCGCTGCTAAGTTAAAAAAAGGGTTGCTATCATGCACGGATAAGAAAAACGGCAGTTTCATGCACTTATATCGAGTTCATTAGGAATCCTAGTTATACGCAAACTTTTTTTATCTGTCTCAGTTTTTTCAGCGTTATTCAACTCTCACTGGTCCATAATTGGAGAATGTTTCCGATTATTAGTTCCGTCAATTCTATTCCGAGAAACGAACTGCCACAAAACGAAAAACCAGCCCATCGGTCGCAGAAGCAACGCATAGCAAAAAATAAGGTAAGAAAAACTTTTTCCTCCTAAAAATTCAGGTAACCATAGAATCAACAAGACTGCTCGTAAATCAGGGCAAAACCCTGAATGTTCCGACTTCCCCTTAGCCGCTGTCGATTGTTTTTAAAACTTGAGTAGAATTAATATGTTCATAATATAGTTGGCCTCAATTCAATTTTAAGCAATTACTAGTATGGATAGTTTGACACGCATAAGTAATTCGCGTATTAGAAGTATCAAAGCATTATTCGAGCAGCAAAGTTTAGACTACAGCTAGCTTACTCGCTTGGCAGTCGGAAAATGTTGCCCAGAAAATTGCTGATAGTTGATGTTGGGACCATGTGTAGGCCTTCTCGTGGCGGTCTTGTATATGATCAACAAATATGCTGGTCTAGCTAACTGCACATTAAAAATACATATATACTGGCTTATTTTGCTATTTGCAAACTGTTTACATTTTGCAAGCAAAAAATCCGACAAAATTTATAACTTAAATCAAACTAGTTTTAGCTTGAAGGTAAGTGCTTGTTGTTTGTCAAGTGATTGCTCTGTTGCTATTTGAGGACTGTTGATTTAACTCAAGTAAGTTTGCTTACAGCTGATTTTCTACCAAAAATTTTTTGTGGCGAGTTTTTCGTCGTCAAAAAACTGCTGATTGAAGTAATTGAAGTTGGAACCGCGCATAAGCCTTCTTGTGGCGGGCGGTCCTGTGTATATACTGACTTATTTTGCTATTTGCAAGCGGTTTACATTTTGCAAGCAAAAAATCGGACCAAAATTTATAACTTAAATCAAAATAGTTTTAGCTTGAAGGTAAGTGCTTGTTGTTTGTCAAGTAATTGCCCTGTTGCTGTTTGAGAACTATTGATTTAACTCAATCAAGTTTGCTTACAGCTGATTTTCTCCCAAAAATTTTTTGTGGCGAGTTTTTCGTCGTCAAAAAAACTGCTGATTGAAGTAATTGAAGTTGGAACCGCGCATAAGCCTTCTTGTGGCGGGCGGTCCTGTGTATATACTGACTTATTTTGCTATTTGCAAGCGGTTTACATTTTGCAAGCAAAAAATCGGACCAAAATTTATAACTTAAATCAAAATAGTTTTAGCTTGAAGGTAAGTTCTTGTTGTTTGTCAAGTGATTGCTCTGTTGCTATTTGAGGACTGTTGATTTAACTCAAGTAAGTTTGCTTACAGCTGATTGCTTCCCAAAAAATTTTTGTGGCGAGTTTTTTGTCGTCAAAAAAACTGCTGATTGAAGTAATTGAATTTGGAACCGTGTGTAAGCCTTCTTGTGGCGGGCGATCCTGTGTATATACTGACTTATTTCTCTCATTGCAACTGTTCCACAGTTTTGCAAGCAATAAAGTCCGACAATGAAATCAAATTCTTGGTGATATTTTGTTTGTGTTTGACTCTGTTTCGACGGACTCAACTTAATGTTTCGTCTTTGAGTTCGACTGTTCTGTAAACTTGTGTTCAACTTTATATTTAACTTTGTGTTCAACTTTATGTTTCGGTTATGTGTTTGACTTTATGCTTCGACTTTGGTTTTGATGTTGTATTTCAACCGACTCGAATGAACTTAACGTTTCGACGATGAGTTAAATTATAGTGCCTTCTCGACTGTGATTTTTCTCCTCGGTCGAAACAGAAATAGCAAAACTCGACTCGTGTACCACTACACTGTAAACTTTTGTAAAATCGGTCTGATTAAAAAACCAACCAAACCATATATTTTCATAGATTTCTTCGCAAGTCGGATCAATAATAACCAGAGTCAAAATTGAATTATATTGATGAGGAGAAACGCTTTAAGTTTACAAATTAACTATAAAATTAATTTATATTTTTCGATCAGTTCCACTTTTTGCTGCAGTGCATAGTATATCAGCGTAATTTTTTTTAGATTACTTCTCTAAGTGACCATGTAAAAGGCATAAATTGGTTCCAAAAATGTTGGAAAGTTTGAGAATTTTTGCGCAGTTTGCAGCAAATTAAGTCAGCAACGTAGGGTATTTGATTTAATTCCACTTAAGGGGACAAAATAAGCTCATTGTCAATTTTTTACTCACCAAAGTGTCTATTTTCAATGTCCATTGTGCACATCATTCATTGATAGCTAAAACAAAACTTCTACCGTAACTGCTGCTTTTCATCGACATTATTAGACTAAGGTATGCATAAATATAAAGCAGAGTAGTTTTGAGCTTAAACGCCGATGGATTCCAGATGCAAGCCTCAAAAATGCTACTATTCTACTCCAGAATTAACGTGAGTTAGCAGTGAACGGATTGTCAAAACTTATGACTGCTATATTTTAAATGATTTATTCAAATTTTGTCCATAAAATCCTGAACATGGTTTTTCGAACCAAGCAGAACAGCAGTTTTTACAAAACTCAGATGTTATTTGTCATGGTTTTTTCAATCGAACTTATGTTAGTATTACAACAAAAAGAGCTAGATTAATTCGACATCTATATTAAGCAAAACGTCAAAAACTACTTCAGTCTAAGAATAAACGTTTTTCAAATTGGATTAGTTTAAAGGAGGTTTCAGCAAATGTTCAGAATTCAGAGTGATGATGGTGAGACTTGTTTGACAATACTTGAGGTTAAACTGGGTTTGAGATTAATAATTGACGCTGTCCGCATTTTGTTTTCCAGTATACATTTGGAAACCTGTTTCGTGGGCAAATTGGAGATTCAGCATACACTGAGTCAGTGAATGTCTTCGTCAGTGATCGTCGATCAGAAATAGGATGGTTGAAGTTTCCCATTGAGGTATCCTAAGATAGGGTAAAAAAGACATTCGATAAAGGAACTGGGCCGAGAAATGTTGGCAAAATTGTTCGGGTAAAAATGTTCGGGAACTGGGCTGAAAAATTTTTGCTAAATTATTCGGGTATAATGGCCTTTTAATTTCATTTTCTGTATCCGTGATTTGTTTGCAAAGAGACTTCTTTGCAAAGGATTATGTGATTGTTGCACTATGTTTTCAGCTTCCAATCTTGGCTTCGAATAGAACTGGTCGAGAAACATATACGAATGTTTCTTACTGGGGTCTTAGTTATTTAATGTAATCTTAGTTATTTAGTTATTTGATTCAAGTAATATTTTTTTTCTTGTTTCGACCATTGAAAATGGGTAGTAACTTTGAACTCAAAATCAGGTACTAAAAAATTTCATCGGAACGGGTCGAGGGATAAATTATAGTTAAACCCTTCCAATCGTGAGTAGAACAAAATATAAAAGTATTTAAAAAAATTGCCCCAGTGTTGAGAAAAACTGGTTTGAAACTTTTGAGAGTTAGTCTAGTTTCAAGCAATTAATTTAGAGCTTTAATATTTCTTAGACTTTTAGAATAAAAATTTTGATTAAACTATAAATTAAATTAATTTTGGATGTTTCATTTAGCACTACTTTAGCACTAAAAATTTTAAAGTATTTTTCCTCATTCCGCATTGTATTTTTCCTCTATCTTCGTTTTTAATTCACTTTTGAAGCAAAATATTGTCAATATTGCCTTATCCATTAATTTTCTACGCAATCAAATATTTCTCGAAGCACACTACCCACTAAAACGACATCATCTTAAAAAAAGTAAAAATAATTTTTTTTTCTAATTTTTGTATGAATACGGTCGGAATAATCTGTGCTACTTGCACAGTAACCGGCTAACCCTTATGTTGGGTTGAGTTTTTTTGGTAAGTGTTGCTTGCACTGAAGGGGGAGTTCTATCCCAGTTTTTGTAAATAAACGAGTGTTCTCAGCCCTAAAAAAGACCACCTCCTTAGGATCTTGTTAAGCGCAGCTTAACAACCGAGACCCGATACAATCGCTTTTTCTACTTCCCCCTAAAGCTGGCTCTTTTCCGGGTATGATTAAATTTAATCGTCCCAGTTCCGGAATTTTTTCATCCTGTTTTTTTTGTGGATATCAATTCCTAACTTTCTTTCTTTTATCATCGAAAATTTGGCATGCTTAAAATAATTTGTTATCAAAACTGAACCCAAGGATGTCAATCATTGGTCTGAACCAGCAATTGAATTGTTCAACTAGTTTATTTGCTTGAAGCTATCTATGTTGAAACAGTGATTGAACCTAATAACATTATTTTATTAGTTGTAAGCTGGTTGAAACCAAAACAGGTTTAAGCCGAATTATAACAACGAAGAACAAACAAACCAACTCAACTCATGTTTCAAAATTTTTTATTTTTTGTTTTTCTTTAATTTGCGCTTTTTTAAGATGATCATTCTTTCGAGGCTTCCGAAAAAAAAATAAAAAGTTTTGTTATAGAGTACCTTTTTTTCTGGCTACTAAAAGCTTCTTATTCTCACAGCTCTGTTTCTGAGTAAGGCTGTAAAAATCCACAACCCAGAAATTGAAACATGAGCAAATTGTTATCAGCTTCATTGTATGAGTTGGCCTGCTCGATGTCCATGTACATGTCTTTTAAAAATGATTTTTTTATTCTGCCGCCTTATGGCCAAAGCGAATCTTGGAGATCCCATCGAATCTATAATTTCGCTAAAGTCAGCTAACTGCCCGTATTTTATTGCATCAAAGTTAAATAGAATGGAATGGGGGTAAAAAGTGCTTTAAGTTGGTATTTAACTCATTATTATGAACGGCGGAATAAATTTTTGATTTTAGGGAGATGAATTTTCTGATCAAGTTCCCACCAGTCTCGTTTTTAAGCTTCAACAGAAGTTTCTTGTTTGTAACGTCGAAAAGGAATGGTCCTCATCATAATTTGTTGTGTCGAAACCAGCTAAAATTTTCTCTAAGTCTCGGTAAACATTATCAGTTTTTATGGCAAAACAAAACTGCCTGGGGAGGAGTACAGTAGTTCCAAACATAGATTCGATTCCATGTTTTGATAATGAAATTGAAACATGGAACGGTTGGCGAGGTCTAAGATGATTGCATCAACTATCATAAAGTTTTCTTGTGACTTTTTTGTTTCCGAAAAGCTGATTGTGTTTAAAAAATCGTTAAAGATTTG